AAGCCATAGGTGAATAGTCTCAGGTGACATATGGAGTTGGGGCAGAACAGGAGATTGATCCTAGGTCTCTGTACTACCAACCAGCTCCCTGTTGGACCATCTGTACTCTCAGATTAAGTGCCCATTACATCAGGAATAGAGAGCATGGAAAAGTTTGGGGGAAAGTTTCTGAAAATATTATTTCCCTCATCAATCAGCAAGAATTGGGACATTGACCATTCTGTTTTGCTGCTAGTAAAGAGCTGGTAATTTTTTTTCAGCTTTCTTTAAGCATTTCACTAATGTATCTTTGTGTCTCATTTTTAAATCTAACCAGATGCTTTCCAGCTTTAAATCCCTCCCAGATGATACCATCCTAAATGGGCAAGAAGTGAAGTGCTTTCTTCTGCTGAACAGCCCCTGCAGGGAAGAGTAATTTGGTAGCACTCCAGTGAACTCACAAAGTGGCGCTGGATGCAATTGTAACTGTACCTGGTATGAGAATGTCGCTACGGCAGTCGTACAGCATCCCTGTCCGGAAAGGGCGGCCCAGGGCTGGAATCTCAATGGGTGATACTCCAGTGTAAGCCATGGTGGTAGCTGTGATCCAGCCCTAAAACACTTCAGGAACACAGTTATACAGCAGAGCTGAGCTCCTGTTCATGCTCTCCCCATCTTCCTTTTAGCTGACCAGAAGGGTTCTGTATAGCTCAGAAGCTTGTCTGTTGATGAGAGAGAAGTTGGTTCAACAATGGACATTAGCTCCTTCACCTCGCTGCTCATTTATCCCCTACGATTTTCTGCTTTCAACAAACTGCTACGGGTTGGATTAAACTTTGCCCTGTAAGCAAGGTGTGAAGAAAGCTTCCCTTACAGCTAGCTGGAAGTGGGGAGAGACCCTGGGTGCGTCTATGTAAATACAGTAGAATCCAATAGAACAAGAGTGTAGCAGGCTGCTGGCTTAGGTCTGTCACAGTGACTACGTCTAGACTGGCATGATTTTCCGCAAATGCTTTTAACGGAAAAGTTTTTCCGTTAAAAGCATTTGCAGAAAAGAGCGTCTAGATTGGCACGGACGCTTTTGCGCAAAAGCACTTTTTGCGGAAAAGCATCCGTGGCAATCGAGACGGTTTTGCGCAAGAAAGCCCCAATCGCCATTGGGGCTTTTTTGCGCAAAACAATACCGCGTTGTCAAGCATTTGCACAAAAGGGCTTTTGCCTGAATGGGAGCAGCATAGTATTTCCGCAAGAACACTGACAATCTTACATGAGATCGTCAGGGTTCTTGTGGAAATTCAAGCGGCCAGTGTAGACACCTGGCAAGTTTTTCCGCAAAAGCAGCTGCTTTAGCGGAAAAACTTGCCAGTCTAGATGCAGCCAGTATGTATATGTCATCAATATGTACAAGCATGTTACACGTGTCCAACCTATGGAGTAAGTGCACCCCGACAGTTTGTGGCTGTCTAAATTTAGACATAGAAGGAGGCCCTAGGCTCTTATGCTTATAAAACCGGGTACCCGGAACTTTTGTTATGAGAGGAGAGAGGAAGAAAAGGAAAGAGGAGATGAGAGAGAGAAAGGAGAAGGGCAGGAGTCAGGAGTTAAGATTATTCTCTAAATTTTGTCTTTAAACTTTATTTTTCTAATAGCCAGTTAGGTAAACTAAGCTAACTTCAGTAAGCGTTTAGCGTTAGCCTTTGCACTCCTCGGCCAAGAACCAGGGCTGGCCCGAGCCATTTTGGCACCCTGGGCCTGGGTGTGCGGTGCCGTCCTTGGGCTCAAGAAGGGCAGGAGTCAGGAGTTAAGATTATTCTCTAAATTTTGTCTTTAAACTTTATTTTTCTAATAGCCAGTTAGGTAAACTAAGCTAACTTCAGTAAGCGTTTAGCGTTAGCCTTTGCACTCCTCGGCCAAGAACCAGGGCTGGCCCGAGCCATTTTGGCACCCTGGGCCTGGGTGTGCGGTGCCGTCCTTGGGCTCATGTGTGCGGCAAGGGGGGGAAGGGCTTTGCTGGCTGGTGCCGCAGGAATGGGGGGGGAGGGCCAGTGCTGCAGGAGCCGGGCACGCAGTGCCTGATGGCAGCTATAAGGGATGCCGCGTGCCCCTTACAGCTGCCATCAGGTACCCCCCATTGGTTGGCGCCCCGGGCAGCTGCCCGGCTCGTCCACCCCTTAGTACGGCTCTGCCAAGAACTGAGAAACCTTGACCCGAACTGTTGTTCACCTCCATCACACTCACCTGGGAACCCACTCCTGCAATAAACTCTGGTGAAAGCTCTGTCCACACTTCTACACCACCACAGGACCTAACCACATGAGCCACCACATCAGAGGCTCCTGCAACTTCACATCCACCAGTGTGATCTATGCCATCAAGTGCCAGCAGTGCCCCTCTGCCATGGATATTGGCCAAACTGGACACTCTACGACAAAGGAGAAATGGACACAAATCAGACATTCGAAATGGTAACACACAGAAACCAGCTGGGGAACATTTTAGCTAGCCTGGGCACTCACTAATGGATCTCAAAGCAACTCTATTATTACAAAGCAATTTCAAAAACCAGCCAGAGAGAGGAGCTGTGGAACTTGCCTTCATTTACAAATTTGACACCTGTAATTGAGGTTTGAACAAAGACCTGACCTGGATGGGCCACAACATTCCACACCCTAACGACTTCAAAAGCGAAGTACCAGGTACTCACAGCCCACTCTATTAGCCTCATTTAGCATAGACACTTTTATTGGCAAGTTTTCCCCCCTCCCCCTCTCCTGTCTTTCTGCTTTTTATTTGAAGCTCTATGCCTTTTGCACCATATTTGTCTTCTGAGGAAACAGGTTGTGCACACACAAGCTCATGATACTATCTGTATGTTTTTTGGTTATCTCAGGTGCTGCAGGAACAATGGTTGTTCTGAAAGTGTTTTGTCAGTTACAGACTAACCTGTCTACCCCTCTGAGACTGTGTAAATTTAACAGGCATAAGCGAAGACTTAGAACGATATTAAATGTCGATGACCACGGATACACCTATTTGATGCACCTCCTAGAAAGACATCAAAATCCAGAGTATTATCTTTATGATACTGTTCCTCCACCCCGAGCAGTGGGAAATAGCGTTGAGACTGTCCCTACAAATGCCTGATCATTTTCTTTTTGCAAATCACCCTGTCAAGGGGTGCATGTAGCCTATAGAGATCTATATATATTAAAGTTTAATCATTTGTTTTATTATAGTTTGTAGGTTTATAGAAATGTAATTTAGCTGTAATGCGAGATACCTACAGGCCATATCCTGTTGGGGGCATTGCTACTGAAGGGCTAAAGTTATATGGTACCAAGGAGATAAGCAGCAGCACAGAGTTCAGTGACCTGGCCTCGTCATAATGGGAGAAGCTGACATATGTGTTTACATAAGCGATCAGAAAGACTAAGAGCCACCAAAAAGGCTGCATATCTCAGAACTGATAGGGTTCAAGTTGAGTAGCCCACCCCCCACCCAGTTTACTCGGGCTGCACTCTTGAGCCATCTGCCTGAATTTCCCCCAACTCTTTGGCAGATCCCTACAGGGGTATAACCTCTCAATAGTTAAGAGTCATTGAGGGGGAAAAAGTGAGAACCCTTCCTCACCCACTTTACTTTTTTCTTTGGGAATTTGATTAAATAAGTGTGAAAAACTGGTTTGGGGGGTTATTTCCTGTTTCTTTCTCTGAAGGAACGCCTTCAATTATAGAGTTTTAGAGTAATGAATAAGAATAGTGTTAGAATCATAGAATATTAGGACTGGTCGAGACCTCAAGAGATCATCAAGATCAGTCCCCTGCCCTCATGGCAGGACCCGGAATGGTCTATATCATCCCTGAAAGAAACCTGTCTAACCTGCTCTTAAACATGCCAAGTGATGGAGATTCCACAACCTTCCTAGGCAATTTATTCCAGTGTTTAACCACTGTGACAGGTAGGAAGTTTTTCCTGATGTCTAATCTAAACCTCCCTTGCTGCAGTTTAAGCCCCTTGCTGCTTGTCCTATCATCAGCGGCCAAGATGAACAATTCCTCTCCCTGCCCTCCATCCTTGTGACACCCTTTTAGATATCTGAAAACTGCTATCATGTCCCCTCTCTGGCTGTGTCCAGACTCCATGCCTCCGTCGACGGAGCTAGAACTGGAAGGGACCTCGAGAGATAATCACGTCCAGTCCCCTGGCCTCATGGCAGGACCAAACATGCTCTATATAATCCCTGATAGATGTCTGTGTAACCTGCTCTTAAATATCTCCAGTGATATTCCATAACCTCCTTAGGCAACTTATTCCAGTGTTTAACCACCCTGACAATTAGGATGTTTTTTCCTAATGTCCAACCTAAACCTGCCTTGCTGCAGTTTAAGCCCATTGCTTCTTATCCTATCCTCAGAGGCCAAGAAGAACAAGTTTTCTCCCTCCTCCTTGTATACTCTTTTAGGTACTTGAAAACCACTATGTCCCCTCTCAGTCTTCCCTTTTCCAAACTAAACAAGCCCCATTCCTTCAGCTTTCCCTCATAGTTCATGTTTTCTAGACCTTTAATCATTCTTGTTGCTCTTCTCTGGACCTTCTCCAATTTCTCCACATCTTTTTAAACATTTGATGCCCAGAACTGGACATAATACTCCAACTGAGGCCTAATCAGTGCAGAGTAGAGCAGAAGAATGACTTCTCATGTCTTGCTCACAACACTCTGGTTAATGCAGCCCAGAACCATTTTTACTTTTTCTGCAACAGTGTCACACTCTTGAGTCATATTTTTCTGTAGGTCCTCTATAACCCCTAGATCCTTTTCTGCCGTACTCCTTCCTAGACAGTCACTTCCCATTCTGTGTGCCGTCCTTCATTAGCATAAACATGGCTGCCGCTTTTTTCCAAAACGGAGCTTTTTTGAAAAAAACAAACCAAACCAGCAGTCTAGACATGGATCTGTCGAAAAATAAACCCTTTTCCGACAGATCCTGTATTCCTCAAAAAATGAGACATACAGGATCTGTCAAAAAAGGGTTTTTAATTCAGCTTCTAAGGGGGTTTACAAAGAATACTTACATATTTAGCATAATTTCACTTGCACTACTGCAAAGTCTGTAGGTGTCAAATTATTTAAATATGATACATCCTCACCATAAGGCTGTTAAAAGGTTATCAAATCTCTGCTTCCCAGGTATGGTTAAGGCCCTTGTCTTCTACAGCAAGTGATCTATTTAATCACTTCTAAATCCTGTGCTTGCACATCCTAAGAACAGCCTTACACAAAGGAGGTACTATCATAAGCAATTACATTCTAACTTAAAGATGAGAAATTATTTTTACAGCTCAGAACAAAATAACTACAAAGGTCATTTCTCAAAAGAAAGGTAATAAATCTTGATTTTTATGATGGTTACTTGGCCTCTGAGGCAGCTGAAGAGTGTTTGCGTGTATATCTACAGAACTTATAGTCAGTTATGCACCCACTTTACAGTAGCCCCATCTAAGTTGTATTTGCCTAGTTTATTGATAAGAAGATCATGTGAAACTGTATCAAATGCCTTACTAAAGTCTAGGTATCCCACATCCACCACTTCT